TTGCCGCCCTCCTCGAAGACGATGGGGTTGATCTCCATGTAGACGAAGTGGAGCTGGCGGTACACGCCGAGCAGCGTCGCGAGGAACCGCGCGAGCTTGGGCTTCCGCGCCTCCGGGACGCCGTCGAGGAGCGCCGCCGCGAGCGCGTCCGGCGCCGCGCTCTCGCCCAGGGGCACCTGGAGCCGCTTCGCCTTGGCGTCGACGTCCCCCACGTCGACGCCGCCGTCCTTGCAGAAGAGGAGCTCCTCGCCCTCGCGGTTCGAGACGACGCAGACGTAGTACTCGTCGGCCTGCGCGTGCGGCACGAACGGCTCGACGAGGAACGTGTGGAGCACGCCCTCGACGCCCTCGACGTCGATGGTCGCGTTCATGCGCGCGTCGACCCAGGCCCGGCACTCGTCGAAGCTCTTGTCGATCGCGAGCAGGCCCGCCTTGCCGCGCCGCTTGATGAGCTGGTCGGGCTTCGCCACCAGCCGCGCGTCCCTGGCCCAGGGGTGCGCCGCGAGCAGCGCGGCCCAGGACGACGGGCTCGCCGGGTCCGACGCGCCGCTCTTCACGAGCATGCCGCGCCCCTCGAACTCGAACTCGCCGCCGGACGCCTCGCCGAGGTACTTGGCCAGGAGCTGCTTGCCAAAGTACTCGCGCACGGGCTTCGCCGCCATGTTGGTGTCTGTTGCGGCGTGTCGCTCGTCTCGGGTGGCTGCGGGTGGATGTCCGCGGGCGCGGCACGCGCTCTTCGTGCGATTGCGGGGATGGCTGGAGAGAGGCACAGGCCTAAACTTCTCTAGGGGCTCCAGTGCACTGGGAAGCCGATCCGATGGGCAGCGCCCGACTTTGACGGCCGCGTTCGGCGGCTCGGTCCGCCGGGCGCCCCGGCAGCCTTCGAGCCCGCGCCGCGCCGGCGGGCGATCTTCGACGCGCCGCTCTCGATCTCGAGAGACGAGCACGATTTCGGGGCGAACGGGGCCTCTGGATCCGGGCCATTTCGACGCGTCGAGGGGCGATATGTCGGTCCAGGGGCAGCAAAAAGGGGGCGGCGCGCGGGGAATCTCATCGCAACATAGTTCCGTCACAATTCCCCGCGCGCCGCCCCCTTTTTACGTCCATCATCGTGCGCGCGCGCGTGGCAGCCCCGGCGGTGCGCGTCGAGCGCTCCGAGTGGTCGTGGCGGTCAGCGCCGGGCCCAGAGGACGATCTACGCGGCTGAGGCACTCGAGGGGTGTCTGAGAGGGCCTCGAAGCGGTCGCGGGTGTCCCCAATGCGCGTTTCTCGGGTCGTTGACCAGGTTTGAGCCGCGGCGC